AAAATAAAAGAAAGAAAAAAATAGCAGTGTATTATGGAGTTGTAAAATTAATATGGAAAAAACTTGAAATCAGTAAACTAATAGCTAAACAATTCTCAACAAAACCAAAAAAAAGGTTGAAAGACTTAACAAAGCCAAATCAAGACAACGTGTCATTGGCATAAAGATAAACAAATACACTAATGGAACAGCATAAAAGTTCCAGAAGTATACCAACATATATGTGGTCAAGTGGTTTAAGATAAAGGTTGAATATAATATGGTAGAGACACACTATGAATTGTGACGCTGCCACAAACAAAATGTAAATATATGTGTATGGAATGTTAAATGCAAACAGAAAATTCCACGGTAACACGTATAGTATGAGCCCATCCTGTGCGCATTCTAGTTGGAACCAGCACCAAAGGGGATCTTACGGAAACACAGTTCCAGTGGCTATAACTTGGCAGTTTCAAGGATAACACTACCCCCAGGCAACATCTTCGAGATCTATTTGGAATACACATTCTCATGAATACTCTAATGAAACAGCTCTTATCAAGGCCTGTGGTGGACAAACACTTGGCAAATTCTACAGTCCACCAGCATTCCTCATTTTATTTAAACTCTCAGCTACCCGTGACACAGCTGACCACTCTTCCATCTTGAAATACCTTCTCTTGGAGGCTTCTACAAGAGGATATCCACCTCTTTCTCCTACCTCACTGGTCTTCCCAGTCTCTTGCAGGCTCCTCCTCCTGTTACTGTCAGAGGAGGAGAATACCTCCTCTTCTCCTGAACCCTCGTCTAATTTACCCCTCACCCTAAAACCAGGCGACCTCTTCTGTATCCAGAACTCCAAATAGCCTAATTATGCTAAAGACTTTCAAAGATACATCCAGATCTTTCTTCAAAGCTCCAGAAACTCCAGGGTCCAATGGTCTACTCAACACTTCCCTTTGATTGTCTCAAATGTATCATGGCCAAACAAAACAACCCTTCACTTCCCTTCCAATCATCTTCCCTGAGCCTTCCTCTTCTGAGGCGAACCGCCCACCTTGGCCTCCCAAAGTGCTGGGATTACAGATGTGACCCACCACATCCGGCCTGTTCATTGTTTTTTTGATATTAAGTTATATAGACTGCGGTAATGATGAATAATTGGGATGAAATAGATTTGTTTTTAGTTAGGTTATGGTCCTCCTTTCAGTGGGAAGCCTCTCACATGCCAGTTCAACATGCTGCGCTTGAAAACATATTTGAATCAAAAATTCTACATTTGGAAAGCTTGGAAAATAAAGCTTTTTCACGTTTAAAAACATATACATTGGCCAGGCGTGGTGGCTCACACCCAGCACTTTGCGAGGCCAAGGCGGACAGATCATTGGAGGTCAGGGGTTCGAGACCAGCCTGGCTAACATAGTGAAACCGTTTCTACTAAAAATACAAAAACAATTGGCAGGGTGTGGTGGCAATCCTAGCTGCTTGGGAGGCTAAGGCAGGAGAATCACTTGAACCCAGGAGGCAGAGATTACAGTGAGCTGTGATCGTGCCATTGCACTCCAGCTTGGACAAGAGTGAAACTCCATCTTAAAAAAAAAAAAAAGAAAAAAAGTACATATTGAGACAATCTGTTCCTAGCACACTAAACCTACAAGAAAGAGTAACGTTCTTATATCTGAAACCAAAGGATGTCAAAATAAACAGAAAAAGGAGAGCTCCAACAAAGATCATAAAATAAGTATAATGGAAAGATGGAACATGTGTTTTTTTTTTTTTGAGATGGTGCCTCACTCTATTGCCCAGTCTGGAGTGCAGTGGCACGATCTCGGCTGACTGCAACCTCTGCTTCTTGGGTTCAAGAGATTCTCCCACCTCAGCCTCCCAAGTAGCTAGAACTACAAGCATCCACCAACATGCCCAGCTACTTTTGTATTTTTAGTAGAGATGGGGTTTTACATCTCTACTTAATTAGCTGGGCATGGTGACAGGCGCTTATAATCCCAGCTACCAAGAAGAAATGCAAGCCTCAAGCGATCCTCCCACCTTGGCCATTCAAAGGCATGTGCTGCCATCACAGGCATGGGCTACAATGCACAGCCCACTCTCATTTTTGAGGCTCCACTCTCATAATCTAACCTAATCCTTATTATATCTCAAAAAAACCATTGCCTAATACTGCCACATCAGGGAAGTGGAAAAATAAATACAATTTTATAAGGATACAAACATTAATTCCATAACAAGTGATTTATTAGCAGCTTTTTATAGTTCTCTAAATAATCTGCATGTTAACCCTTTATTAGATATATAATTTGGAAATAGTTTCTCCCATTCTATGGGTTACCCATTTACTCTGTTAATATTGCCTTTTGATGCATAAGCTCCACAAAGTCCGTATTATTTTTTCCCTTATGGGTCATGCTTTTGGTGCCAAATCTAGGAAATCATTGCAAAATTCACTGTCATACAGCTTTTACCATGTATTTTCAAAAACAGTCTTAACAATTTCAAAAATTGTTAAGACTTTATATAAATTAGACTTTATCAGACTTTCTGTGCTGTCTATCTTGTTGCCTTGTCTATTTCTGTGTTATTGCGCTAGTACCAAACTATTTTTATTAGGATGAATTTGTAGTAAGTTTTGAAATCCGGAAGTATGAGTCCACCAACTTTGTTCTGGCTTTTAAAGACTGTTTTGTTGATTTACAGTCCCTTGAGATGTCATATATAAAAAATTTTTTTAATGTTCAAAAATGGCTCCTAAGAAGGAAACAAATGGTCAAAGCTATCCCTAAAAGGCTAGCAGGTAACAAAAAGTGCTTTCTCAATCAGAAAATACAAACCTAAGATGTTTTGAAAAGTGGCATGTCACCTTGGAAAGTTCATAAGCTCAGTAAGAAGGAACCAAGATCTTCAGTCACACCAAACCAATGGAAAATAAATAAATAAAAGGAACCAAGAAATCACACACAAAAGCAGAGAGAAGCTGAAGTTCCTGAAATATTAGAGTTGCCCCTATGATGGCAAAAATGATCCCTCTGGTTCATGATAAACTAAGTATAAAGACTAAGAAAGCATTAACTGTGTGGCTAGAGAACACATCAAAGAACGACATCGCTGTTGATGATAACATCATACTTGAAAAAACAGCCTCTATGAGCACCACTGTGAGAGGGCTGAGGAGAGCAAGAGGGAGTCTGCAGCCAGTAACGTCTGGCTAGGCTAGCTATGAAACACACTGCATCCCAAGAACTTGAAGACCACAGGAAAGAACTGTCATTGGCTGATACCAGGGAAACCACAGCATTCTTAGAAGAGCTCATAAAACAAAAAAGAAAGACTAATTTTGAGAGGAAATCTTCTACTGTCATGAATCAGGCATATTCTAGAAGATGTCCAATGGCACCTTCACTGTGAGTGCAGGTACTGGGGTTCAAGGCCTGGAAAGACCACCTTATTGTGGTGCTGTCAGGCAATGTATCAGTTCACAAGAATAACCCAGGCTTCATCTACTGGGCAAATCAGTAGGTTCTTTAGGACAAAAGCAAAACTTGCTCACCTGTATCCTGGCAAGAAAATAAGAAGGCTTTCTTTTACCAGTGCTTCACTCCTGATGTGACTTATATAGCTCAATGAGACTTCCACCCAAGCTCTTCCTCAGAATTGACAATACTCCAGGCTCTCTCTCCAATCTCTTTGTTTTGCCTAAAAAAACATGCAAGTGGCTGGGTATGGTGGCTTGCGCCTGTAATCCCAGCATTTTGGGAGGCTGGGTGGTTTATGCCTGTAATCCCAGCACTTTGGGAGGCCAAGACAGGTGGATCACGATGTCAGGAGTTCAAGACCAGCCTGGCGAAGATAGTGAAACCCCGTCTCTACTAAAAATACAAAAATTAGCTGGGCACAGTGGTGGGTGCCTGTAATCCCAACTATTCGAGAGGCTGAGGCAGAGAATTGCTTGAACCCAGGAGACAGGTGTTGCAGTGAGCCAATATCGCGCCACTACACTCTAGCCTGGGTGACAGAGCGAGACTCCATCTCAAAAAAAAAAAAAAAATGCAAGTGATATTTCTGCCTCCTAAAACTACATCACTGCTGCATCACTAGATCAAGGCATCATCAAGTGCATTAAAGTGACTTATATCCACCTGACCTTGGGTGAATTCATGGGGTCTTGATACTAACTTTGAATGAGCTTCACAATGGGAAGCCTTAGATGCCCTTAAAGCTCAGGACAGCCAATGTATGTTATAAGCCATCATGGAAGGCCGGGCGCGGTGGCTCAAGCCTGTAATCCCAGCACTTTGGGAGGCTGAGGCGGGTGGATCATGAGGTCAAGAGATCAAGACCATCCTGGTCAACACGGTGAAACCCCGTCTCTACTAAAAATACAAAAAAAATTAGCTGGGCATGGTGGCGCGTACCTGTAATCCCAGCTACTCAGGAGGCTGAGGCAGGAGAATTGCCTGAACCCAGGAGGCGGAGGTTGCGGTGAGCCGAGATCGC